CTGTAAATTCTATTTTTAGTACGTAAAAGAAATGCGGGGAGGAGGACAACTTACTAACTACATTCCCCCCTTCACCATTTCTTATTGTGGCTGCTCTTCTTTCCATCTCCAGTTCTCAGCAATTTGTTTTACAACTCTCAGAATTATATGCATTTCTAGAAAGAAAACCCTTGCTTTAATTTGCATATGGGAAATAGTCTACTACCCAACTACTTGATCCAAGAAGAAAGGATAATGGTACAGTAACAGAAGATAAAGGTAAGGGATGCACATATTGAACAAAAAAGTTCAAATGCACTTCAAATGTGGTAGAATACAAGCCTAAGTGCCAGATTTGTGCTCCTTCATATTTTTTAACAGGAGGGGGGTATCACAGAAATATTGGTCCTCTTTTAATGCTAAGAGAATATAATATGAAGCATGTTCAACCATGCTATATATATCATTGCTTCTCAATCTTTGGTCTTCCAGATCTTTTGTTCTTCAAGTCCCTGCAACATAGTGAATGGGCAGCTAAACTGCCAACATCTGGAGGACCAAAATCTCAGAAGCAGTGATGTGCTGGTTCCAAGATCCCTGTAGTCATGTAGGTATGACTACATTGAATTATGGTTGGCTCATAACTGAATTAATGCTTGTACGGTACAGATAACATTTTCAAGCCAATCTACTCACTTCCCTTTAGACACAGAAACGGATCTCTAGGAAAAAACATAACGTCAGACTAGTTTCGTTGACATCTAGTTTTCAATAACTATAAGGAAAATCCTTCAAAATATAGTGCTTTGTATTTTTCAGATTTGTAGGAATGTCCATTAAAGGAGTTTATTCTCTGCTTTCCATTCTCTGCTTATTACAGTATTTGCTTTCCATTTATAACACATCTAAATGGGATTAAATTGCTAAATATACTTCTAATTTGCAGGCTGTTCTGGGAAACAGATTCCATACCTCATGAATTTGGGAACTAGTCACTCCGAACTTATACCAACTTTGTATCTGAATATCAATTTGGTATAAATTTTTAATCAAGAGGCACATCAAATAAATACAGTATGAATGGTCTGAGATCTTTTTCAGCCCATCGCTTTCTGGCCCTCTCCTGTAAACCCTTTACACTTCACGATTAAAGTGATGTGATCCAAAAAATTATATTACAAAGGCACATTTTCTCAAAATAACTTCATAATTTTAATAAACTCTCCATGGAGTTAGCAACTATTCATAGTTGCCATTGTCAGGATATTGCCATTTACTTACATTTCCCTGCAACTGTTACAGGATGCAAATCACCCTGTTACAGGGTGTCAGATCAATGCCTTTTAGCCTCAATAGCAACTGCTCACATTAAATGGAAATTCAGTTACTGCTTAGTATGAAGATTTTGATATTACAGAGAACGGTACGCTGGCATCTGGATGTTACAATTTTGCAAAGGTAGAAGAGTTTCTGAAACAGGGCAGATGGTAGGGCACAACACCTTATTAGCGAACTGACATAATAAAATCTATCAAGTAAAAGTAGCAGTAGCAACACAAGCACTGGATTGAAAGTTGCCTAAGGTATAGCCAATATGACTTGTGAACTCTGTGTATGATGCTAAAAGAGGCATTTCAAGTTGTTCCCACACATACGGTGACATTTCCACTGACTTTACTGAAACATCCTGAGAGAAAGCTTGAGAATCTCTAGCTATGATCCAACTTTATCAATATATAGTTTACCATTTGGTCACTGGCATTTTACAAAGAATTGGGTGTCAACAGGTTCCTTATTACACATACTTCCATTTGGTTAAGCTTAGGTCTAAAATCCAAGAGCCTCATTGTCTGTGGCTCTCTGGATGTTGATTGACTACAACTCTCATGAATTCTCACTTCTGGCTGTGCTAGCCAGGACCACAGCATCCCAATAACAACAGTCACAACTGTGAGAGCTATTCAGCAGTGGAACTCTCTGCCCCAGAGTTTGGTAAAGGCTCCTTCTTTGGAAGCTTTTAAACAGAGGCTGGATGGCCATCTGTCAGGGGTGCTTTGAATGCAATTTTCCTGCTTCTTGGCAAGGGGTTGGACTGGATGGCCCATGAGGTCCCTTCCAACTCTATGATTCTAATAAACCACATTTCGTCCAGACAGTGTTTCCCAAATTGTGACCATACAGGTGACTCTGGGCCTCAGCTTCCAGAATCCTTGATTACTGGCCAAGGCAGTGGAGGTTGCTGGGAATTAAAGTCCAAAACACCTGGAGCCCTAGAGTTCAAGAACCATTGGTCAGGTACAGTCAGTCTCCCGTTTACTCAACCAACATTATTATTATTATTATTATTATTATTATTATTATTATTATTATTATTATTATGTATTCTGCCACCATCTCCCCAAAGGGACCTGGGGCGGCTTACATGGGGAGACAAGCTCAGTCAGATATAGATTAAAATAAACACAGTACAATTTAGAAAAAGTAACATCTCAAAACAACATAAAACAACCATCAACGGAGAACCAATAGCCTGACATAATAGTCAAATTACTAAACCTGGGCGGGCAGAGGCTTGAGCAATACAGTTGCAAGGACAGGGCTGATGGAAAAAGTGCAGGAGCCAGATGACAGGCTAGGGCTAGAAGGGCAATGTCAATTAGAACAATCTATCTATAGGGCAGGGAACAGTGGTAATTTTGACTTATGGCTGGGAGGCCCAAATTTATCTAGTGAACTGTTTAATCAAAGGCCATGTTTTTAGCTCTTTATGAAAAGCAGCCAGGGTGAGTGCCAATCTAATCTCCCTGGGGAGAGAGTGCCAGAGCCAGGGGCCTCTCCCTCATCCCCTCCAGCCATGCTTGTGATGGAGGTGGAAGTGAGAGAAGGGCCTCCCCAGTTCTTAGAACTTGCACATGTTTATAGGGGAAAATGCTATGACAAAGATAGCCATTAATCTTAAATGTGATTTGCCTTCCCTGTGGATCATATGTGTATCCTCCCCTTTGTTCAACTATTAGTTAAATTTCACTCATTAGTAATATACTGCAAAAAGCAAAAAGAAAACCCCTGTATTTTGAAAGTTCTTAAAACAATTCACTGATGGAGATAGCAAATAGTTAAGATAACTATTATTCAAATGCTAGTCTTTACCCACATTATTAGAACATGGATTAAATATATTCTGGATTAGATTCTATTCTGGCAGTATCCTGGATTACAATCTGTTTATTCTACATCCAGTGTCTTCCAGCCTTTGTTAAACCAATTCCTCTACTATTGCAACCATCTATAAGCTTCTTAATATGAATATCTGTATAATAAATCTATGAATCAACCCCATTTTTCTGGGTTTCTTCTGTGAAAAGCAAACCTACAATCCACATTCATATAACCCAGGGGTCCCAACACTTCAAGATCTGTAGAGACACTTAGAATAATTCTGTCCCCTCAGTTCTTAAATTCTTGTTTTCCAGAGGGTGAAACAATGAAAATGGTTCTCATCTAGAACATTCATATTTATTATGTTTGCATTCAATGGCATTCTATATCCATTCCATCAGCATACAGTGGTAAATGAAAACTTATGCAGCACTGATAGATGGAAAATCATGTAGCATAATTTGGGCAGCAAGAAAACCAAGCATAGGCAAACTTTGGCCTTCCATGTGTTTGGACTTCAACTCCCAGAAATCCCAGCCTGCTTCATGGCTGTTCATAATTGTGGGAGTCGAAGTCCAAAACACTTGGAGGGACAAAGTTTGCCCATGCTCGTTAGAGACAAACAAAACAAACCCACACTTTTTCAAGTACAGGGGATATCTATCAGGGTTTGGTTCCAGGACCTTTTGTGGATACCAAAATCCATGGATGCTCCCATCCCATCATATACAATACCATAATAAAAAGGTGTCACTTATATAAAATTGTAGAATCAAGTTTTGCTTCTTTTAGGGGGGGGGGATGAGTGGGACATGTTTTCAAGCTGTGGATGAAAGAACCGATGAAATATTTATTCTTCTTTGGATGCATCCCAAATGATTGAACTATATTAACCAAGGAAGCAGGGATAAGACTCTGATCATAATGGGAGCAGACAGGAATATTCTGGGATAAACAAAGCATCTATAGATCTCCAAAATAAAACCATTAAGAACATGGACAAAATCTAACACTTTCTAATTTTTTAAAAATACATCTGGATGTGTTCTCAAATTGTGCGTAAGTTCAATTTCACTTTGTATTTTGCTTAGAGAAATAGGCTAGCTATTCACTACAACTGCCACTAGGAGTCAGTGCTCCACAATTTTCTTCTGCAATACAGATGCTGTCAAGCCTAGTTTCTGTATACTTTAGAGACACCAGGTTTTCCGGCCTGTATGGTCATGTTCCAGAAGCATTCTTTCCTGACGTTTCGTCCACATCTACGGCAGGCATCCTCAGAGGTTGTGAGGTATGAGGCCTCCCCCAGCAGCAACCAGCCAGGCTTTGAAGTTACAAGGCCATTAAATACTAATCAATGTGGCAAACTGCAACATTCACACTTGCCTCAAACAGACAAGAGTTCTTTCTCCCACCATGGATATTATTCCACAGATATATAAATCCCACTTGCCTAGTTTCCAACAGACCTCACAAACTCCAAAGATACCTGCCATAGACATGGGCGAAATGTCAGGAGAGAATGCTTCTGGAACATGGCCATGAAGCCCAGAAAACTCACAGCAACCCAATGATTCTGGCCATAAAAGCCTTCGACAACACATTTAAAGAGACCTCCCTTCAAAGTTCAGATACCTTTTAGAAGCATTTTTAGAATTACAAGATGAGACTGGATTTCAGGAGTTGAGTTTTTTAAAACAAATAGGAAGACCGGCTTTCAATTTGAGTTTTATCCTGTTATGAGATACACATTGCAAAATTTTACCATCTAAACATCTTTAGAGTAGGCCAAGCTACATTTGAAACATTTGTCATAATTAAGTTTGCCTTTGCTTAAAAACAAGCTTTTCTGAATGGCCAAATTTAAAACAAGTTTCACTTTATTATTGAATCATCATTGATTTATAGAGTGCTTTACAAATCAAAGAATAACAGAAGAGTTCCCTGCCATTTACAATCTAATTAAGACACAACCTCTTCTCCTCTTCTTCAGAGGCCAAGGCAGTGGCAGCTGGGATGGAAGGAGGGCCTTTTCTCTGTTTCTAGGCCTTTGCACAATGGAGCTATGCCCACCTCTTCTTCTCTCAGTTAGAGGCCAGGGCAGTGGCTGCTGGGATGAAGGGAGGGCTTTAATCTAATTTTGATTTTAGACATGATAGAGCTGTCCTGGTCTACTCTTCTCTTGGTCAGAAGCAGTGAGGGGTAGAGGAATGACTTTTATCTGGTTCTGGGCTAGGCACAATGGAGCTATGTCTGCCTCTTCTTCTCTTTCTCTGATACCAGGGCAATGGCTGTTGGGATGGGGGAAGAGTCCAATCTTTCTCCCTGAAATATAACTGAAATGTGCTATTCTCCACTCTTACAACTCAGGTTTGGATCATGTGTTCTTATCTATGACTAGTAATCAGGGTCAAAATTTTAACGCTCCTATCTTAGGCAGAGCCCCCCTAGTTGCGCAGTGGGTTAAACTGCTAAGCTGCTGAACTTGCTGACTGGAAAGTTGGTGGTTCGAATCCATGGGACAGGGTGAGCTCCCGCTGTTAGCCCCAGCTTCTGCCAACCTAGCAGTTCGAAAACATGCAAATGTGAGTAGATCAATAGATACCGCCTTGGTGGGAAGGTAACAGCACTCTATGCAGTCATGCTGGCCACATGACCTTGGAGGCATCTACGGACAACACTGGCTCTTCCGCTTACAAATGGAGATGAGCATCACCCTCCAGTGTTGGACACAACTAGATTTAACGAAAAGGGAAACCTTTACCTTTGCCTATGTTGGGCAGAAAGAAACATTCACTTTGGCTCAGGCTTTATCTTCTACAAACAGAAGGATATCTTTTGTCCCTAAAAGGCTTTTGATTCAGTGGAGGAATCCCACTGGCAGAAAAAAAAAAGAGAGGATGATTTTTCTATTACTTCCTCAACCTACTCTATCAAGTTGGGGAGATGGGACTCTCAGGAGCAGAGGTGGCACATGAAGCAACAAGAGAAGGAAGAATTGGTGTGAACATTTAATTCTTCTCCTGTTTAGTCAGGACAAACTTGAATGGTTTTCTACCCAGGTGTGAAAGGCTTGCACTGTTTGAACTGAACAGGTTTGTCAAAGACTAGCAAGACTGTGACTACAAGAAACACTGGGTTATGTTTGTACATGTCTGGATTCCTCACGATCAAGAAATATTAAGCCTGAGTAAATTTCGTTCAATATATTTCTTCCAATATATCTAAAATGTGCCCACAGTTCAAGATTGATCCACAAAACATATATATTCATTAGGTTAGCAACACTCTGATTGTTGGGTTAATACTGATAAGAAAACAAAAAAAACCTAGTAATAAATATGATTGAGATCTCTTAATTAACAAAGAGAAGCTTCATAATGCTAACTGGCAACCTGCCCTGCATCCTTCCAGCCCAATCTTATTGCTGCTCCAAGAAGTGCAAAAAATTAGCATCAAAGCTCTTTCTTCTGGAACACTTCTCCATTCAGTTTTTTGGATGAACCGTTTTTCATTGTCCTGTTGGCAAAATTCCAGTCAATGGGGTTGAGGAGCTGATGAGTCTTTTTGTACATCCAGTAAGGATTAAGTATCGAAGTGACCACAGCCAGTCCAACAAATACGACAGTAAAATGCAGAAGTCCCAGATTCTCCAGCACAGCGTTCCAGTTGGAAAGGCAAACCCACCACATATGATAAGTAAGGACCATGCGGCAGTGAAACATATGGATCATGACCCACTGGTTTGCCTTCCAAAAGAAAGTGTTGGACCAACCAACCTAAAGAAAAAAACATAAATAGAAGTTAAGTGTATGTTGCAGCATTTTCACACAGATTATTAATGAGCTAGCTACACGGAAGATAAATAACATATTGTGTATATAATGACAACTCCAAGAACATTTGCAAAGAGAAATCTTGGCAAAACACCCACAATAATATTTGGGAAGACAAGTATTTCAAGAACTTCAAGAGGCTTCTGAATTAACTATGTTCTAACTAGGAGAGTTAAGCCAACTTGAAAGAGAATACAATCAGGCTATGAGCAGAGAGACAGTAAAAAAACAAAGATGGCTTTTATCTTAGAACAACAAATGAGTTGTTACTAGGAATTAATATTGCGGTACAGTTTTTCTTTGATTATAAAGGCAGAGAAATCAAGTCAGCACTACAGGAGCCAACACATCTTTGGCCACGTGACTCTGAAAAGCTGCTCCAGGATAAAAAGTGCTTAATGCATGTGCCAAGGAGTCCTCATTACAGTGCATGTAGCCAGGCTAAGCCACAGGATGGAAAATATTGGGTACAACTAAAGTGTATTAGGAGCTGGGAAATTATAGAGAATAACAAATACAGAAGCCTATTAATTAAACGCACTCTCTCACTTTCTCTTATCTGATTTACATCCTGCCTACCCCCTAGACATTGGGGGCAAGTGGCATCCAAATAAATAGATTTAGATGTTTATTGCAAATGCAGGTTGAGGATGCCTAACCCCGAAATCTGAAATGTTCCCAAATCTGAAGCTTACTACTGCCAGCTACTCGCTAGTTTGCAAGTTGAAAGAGGACAAGCTGGTGGCCTCCCCATAGATCTCCCATTGTATCTCCACCCAGCTTCCCAGATACTCAGTCTCCCATTTCAGTTGCAACATAAGTGGCAAACCAACAAGATGCAAGGCTGGTGAGAGGATCTGTGAAATGGAAAAAGAAAATAGTATCCAAGTAGTTCCATTATGCATATGCAACTATTCATTAAAAAAAAATAAAGATCTAAAATACTTTTTGTCTCAAGCAATTCAGATAAGGGATAGCCTACTGTATAACAACATAATTTATACTACCGTATATTATTAAAATACTAAAATCAGAACCCTGTATCCAGAGGGGATACATGCTGGGTCTCAGTTACATAAAACTGCAAATACAACCAAACAGAATTAAATCACCTCACTTGCGGTCCCAGTATACCAGATTCGCACTGGAGGACCTGACAATTCCTAGCGAGGAATCTTCTCTAGGAATTTGCTAAGTCCTCTAATATTGCTCTATGGTAAGATCCAGGGGATTCAAAACAAACTGGAGAACTCAGCAAATTATTATAGGGACTGGGGTTTTTTTGTTCCGACTATGGATAAATGGATCCATAGATATGTGCTCCGTGGTTATAAATATTTTTAAAGCAATTCGAAAACACACAGTACAGTGTGAAAAAAACCAGCAGAATGTAAAGTCCAATTCATCATTTTCCAAACCTTAAGATGTGATACTCAGCTATACTTGCTGAAGAACAGAAATGGCACAACGGGTTTGCTCAACCTCCCTTGGGAGTTTTGTTGTTATTCAACAAAAAATACCTGTGTTTGGCCTGACAGCAAGGCACTATTTGACAAAGCTACATTAGTTAAATTATAACCATAGACTACCAACTTAAGCCCTTAATTTCACTAGAAGTGCAAGATCAGGTCACAGAATATCCCCAGTTTCATTGCTTGAATTCATTTCCTACTCAGTGTTCTAAAATTACATTACTACAGATCTTTGCACTTTTAAAAGTTATTAGAATATATAACTTTATTTTTGTACCCTGCCTCCATCTCCCCAAAGGGACTTAGGGCAGCTTACATATGACACAAAGTGCCTAATACAAAGCATAAAATAATAGCACAGTACAACACAATAAAGTAAAAAACCGTGGCATATAAAAACAAGAATTTAAAACTCAGAACAACACCCAATGACCTGTGGTGACAGATACCGTAAGACATGGCCAACCTGTAAACAAGACGAGGGAATGGGATAGTGCAAATTGTAGCTAAGGAACAGGGCATGGAATAAAAGTATAGGGCTCTATCATGTATTGTTCCCCTTTAAAGAACAACACTACTCTGGTTGTCATCCTCCTATATGTAGTTTCAGGCACCATTCTACTATGCCATTGTTTATATGGGTCTTCAGCACTCACAGAGGTTCTTGAACCAAACATCAGTGGATAACAAGGGCCCACTGTACATGTGTTTTACAAATGGCTCTCTTTTGCTAGCTATAGCTACTTCTATCGACTAAATCTACCATCTGTCTTAGCTGAAAAACCAGTGGTAATGGATGATAGGCACTACAGTTAAAGAATATTTTGGAAACTTTCGCAATTGCTGATTTCCCCTCCAGGAGTATGCAGGAGAAAGTGATTTGAGAGCATCCCCTAAAAAATAAGGTGGCATGCAATTTAGAACCACATGGAAAGCAAAAATAGCTTTCCTTCCCTGCAGGCACAAAGGATCATGAAGTCCTGTTTTGCCATAGATGTAGGCAAAACATCAGGAGAGAATGCTTCTGGAACATGGCCATACATCCAGGAAAACTCACAGCAACCCAGGGATTCCGGCCATGAAAGCCTTCGACAACACATAGATCATGTGCTTGTATTTTCTTCTTCTTTTACATTTATATATTTTACAGGCAACTGTGGAAATAAATTAGTTCATGGCTGGCAAGCCAGTAGCCCTCCAGATACTGCTGGAGTACAATTCCAATCATTTGGAAATCAGAGGAGCTGGGAGTCCAACAACTTCTGGAGAGTCAAAGCCTTCCCACCATCTAGTTCACCCCAGAACTGTTTGAAGGGCACTCTTTAGATAAATCTTTAAAAACCAACTTTGACCTTTAGACAAGGAGGGGCTAATGTAGAAGGCTGGAGAGCTGTATCAGTTCCTCAGGAGTGCTTGAAGGGCTCCAACTCCTACCGCAGAAAAGAAAAACCAGTATTTTATTCTCAAAAAATCTCATATGGACCACAAAGGGCATTGTCCTGTCCTGTTTTAACCCCAGGAGAGGCCTTGTTTAATAACAGGAAATGAACAGAAGTCACCTCTCCGAGGCCTAAAATGGCTGGGTGAATCAAAAGCATAGCGAAAATGTTCCACCAAGAGGACATCTGGGAGATATTTTGAGGCGGTTTTGACCCAAGGAGGGATTTGTTGGTCTGTATTTTCCCCATCCCTTTAGATGTTGATTCTGGGTCTGGAAAACATGTTGTTTATCAAACCCATAGACAATTCCTTTGACAGTATGAAATGTGAACTTGGAGAATTTTAATTGTAATTCTACTGCAAGATTTTATAAGACAAGGTTCTGCTGTTTTCACAGCTTACAGACCCCAAATCACAAGGACATCAGTTTCTATATTATAAGCTGGTAACGAGAGAAACAACAGGAAACTAAATCACTATACTTGATTTCCAAACAACAGATGGTCCTTTCTGCTGCAATTATTTTCTTTCCACAAAACCACTTCCTCAGAAGCAGTGAGATCTTCAGACAAAACTATTGCAAAGTTACTGAGACCTTTGACAATCTTCTTATTCCTTTATTCGATGCTTTCAAAGAGCTAGCAGCATCACATATTTGCTCTGTCACCATATGTTTACAGTGGTCGTTCACTTATCGAGGGGGTTACGTTCCAGGACCACCTGCGATAAGTGAAATTCCGTGAAGTAGGGACGCCCCCTCCTCTTCCCTCCTTGCCCTCTTTACCTTCCTTTTCCTTCCTCCTCCTCATCGCCACCTGGGCCTCTTGCCATCGATTGGGCCCCACGCCGCCTCCGCCACCTCCTCAATCGCGGGGCCCAAACGGCAGCAAGAGGCCCAGGCAGCGACAAGGAGGAAGAAGATAAAGAGGGTGAGGAGGAAAGAAGAGCTCCTGTCCATCCCACTCAGCCCAGAAGGCGACCTTCTTCTTTGCCGAGGGGAGGGGGCTTGCAGGACTCTTCCCTTCTCCTCTGCTTTGGCAAAGGCAGCAAGGACAGAGAGAGAGAGAGAGAAGAGAGAGGGGCGGGAGGGAGGGAGGAGCCAGGGGCACGAGGCACTGCAGTAGGAAGCCAGGAAGGGGTTAAGTGGTGGAAGAGGTGCTGCCTCCATCTGGGCAGAGACAGGAGGAGGAGAAGAGCTGGTGCCTGCACACAGGAAAAGGAAACTTTCCTGGGATCTTCTCTGGTCAAACAGAGGAAGAAGGGGAAGAGGGGCTTTGTTGCTTGGGGGCGAGGCCACTGCAGCTGATGGAGTGGGCTCCCTGCAGGGAGGGAGGGAGAGGTGCCAGCTTTCCCTTCTCCTTCCTTCCCTCTTCCCTTCCCTCGCTTTCTCCTCAGCCCCGAGAGCACATCCTGCAACCTTCCTCCACCTCATTGCTACACTACCTGGGCCTCTTGTTGCCACTTGGGACCCGCAACGCCTCTGCCACGTCTTCAGTGTTCCCTCACTACTTAAATTCTTTTTTTTAAACCGTGAATAGCAAGCCATAAGCGAACCATGAAGTAGCGAGGGAATACTGTACATCCAATCAGGCGAAGAGCTTGTAGTATTACAGAATGAGAGAAGCAAATTTAAAGTAAGTTTCAAATACTGAATGTTTTCCTAAAACTTTGGTTTGGTTTGGTTTCATGCACAGAGCTTTAAAATATTATTTAAAGTTAGATTGATATATGTGTATAAGGTGCATATAAGCATAAATGAATTGTGTATTTAGTTTGGTCTCATCTCTAAAATACCTCATTATGTATAGTATATGCAAATACAAGCATTCCAAAATTTGAAATCCAAAACACTTCAAGTCTCACGCATTTTGGATAAGGGATACTTAAATTGTGTCTCACCCAACATTTGAACTGGTGGTATATAGAAATGTTCTGCTTAGGAGATTATATTGCAGGTTGCTTATGAAAGCTCATACATTATACAAGCCATGGAAATATAAATACCTGGCTTGACACTAAGAATCCTTCAGGATCCTATATATAAATCAACCTGCTAGAAACACTTTTGTGCTGAAGCACTTTTAAGTGTGAGGGGCCGGAGGTAGGACCTTCTTCTTCTTCTACCTATGTGGGAAAAGGTAGATGTTTCCCCTTGACATTAAGTCTGGTCATGTCTGACTCTGGGGGTGGTGCTTACCACCATTTCTAAGCCGAAGAACCAGCACTGTCTCTAAATATCTCCTAGGTCATGTTGCCAGCATGACTACATGAATCATCATTACCTTCCTGCAGATGCGGTACCTACTGATCTACTCACATTTGTATGTTTTGAACCGCTAGGTTGGCAGAAGCTGGGCCTAACAGCAGGAGCTCACCCCACTCCCAGATTCAAACCACCAACCTTTTGGTTAGCAAGTTCAGCAGTTCAGTGGTTTAACTCGCTGCCCCACTGTAAGTATGTAACCTTAAACTGCCTACCAATTTATAGCGGCTCCATATATATATATATATATATATATATATATATATAGACAAAATCAAATTATTTTTGCATTCTGTTCAGCTGGCCTGATAATTTTTAGCATCTATAATGACTTATGCAATATACTTTTACTGCCCTCATGTCAAGTATTAATGTCTTTGAATAAATGTTTTCTCCTCCTTCTTCTAATATTAAGATACCCTAATAAAACTGTAAACACAACATCAATTACTGAAAGTCTTTAATGACTGAAAACATTAAATCAATTTAGATTTAGTTAAATACTCTACATTATTCCCTGAAGTATTTTACTTTATATCTGAAACATGAATGATGTGTTTAATCTCAAGCTGTAACTATAGTCCTGCTCTCACTTTCAAGCACAGGTGTGTTGTTATACTCCTACCCAGGTAGCACTTTTGACTTTGCTGACTCAAGTCATCATAATTAGCAGCAAAAGGATACTGGGGGGCTAGAAGCATATGCCCCAGATACAATCAGTCCACTAAAGGTACAGGGACACAGTGTAGTAGGTTGAGCATTGGATTATGGAGCCCATCATTTGAATCCCAGCAAGTCAGAGACTCTCGACCTCATAAGAAAGCAAAGATAAACCTCCTCTGAAAAAAGCTGCCAAGAGACCCCTGAGATAGGTTTCCCTCAGGCTCACCATAAGTCAGAAATGACTTTTAGGCACATAACAACAAACAAGGACAATTGCAACTAATGAATATGAAGCAGTGTACAAAGCTTCAAAGTAGGAGACCGATCACTTAAGGTCACCATTCTCCAGCAAAGTAGTGAGTCTTGAAAGCTGTGAACTGAAAACTAAAACGGGATTAGAAGACCAGACTGACTGTACTTCATGTGCTTTGGACTTCCAGTCCCCAACTACTGGATGCTGCTCGGGGCTTCTGGAAGTGGGTCCAAAACAACTGGAAGGGCAGAGGTCAAGAACCACCAGTTTAGACCCTATTAGCGTAAGCTGTTCAACAAGACCTTTTGAAGATTCTGCAACTCTGACCTTTCCTGGGCCATGTTCATTCATTTAAGGAGAAGACAATATGGCTGTCAAACAGAAAGGACAGGGACACTGTGGTGGGTCAATTGCCCATGGCTTACATCTTTTTCTGTGCGTGTTTTGGAATATGTATTCAAAATAATATTCACTGTAGAAATAATTACGAACTAAATTAACATTTTAATTAACTCTGAAATGTCTGATTTCATTAGATCTATAGGATGCAAGACTACCAATGAAGCAGATGGAAGCATAAGAGTGACAAATGAGATCAAATTTCCATGTAATGATTGTGTGTGTGTGTATGTGTTTAATGGGATCCACTCATATGGACGTAAGACATGTCTTTTGGATTTCAACTCCCACAATTCCTAACAGCCTACCTGTTATTAGGAATTGTGGGAGTTGAAGTCCAAAACACTTGGAGGGCCAAAGTTTGCCCATGCCTGTTCTAACCTCTCCACACCTACTCACTATTCTCTGCTTTCACTTTAGGGAGCATCAAGGGGAGGGAAAAAGACTTGTTTACTAGCTGCATGTGCCACACTTTGCCTCCAAAGTTTGGTACCAAACTATATAAATAATTTCAGGTGGAAAAGGGAGGTTATATAAATAACAATTGGGTGAGTGCAGGATGAGGAACCATACAAAGGCTCTGTGGATACACTTGGTCTCCACAGGATACAGATTTCACTTTGTCACAACAAAGGGGTGAGGAGCTGAAAATCAAGTTGCTAGCTGAACTGTGAACTTACCAGCTCAGTAATAAATAAGACATTTCCTTAAGCTTGTTAATATCTCACCTTTAAAAGAATCCACGATATGCAGGTAAAAGGCGTGCTCATCTCAAGTAGTATTCCCATCAAGTGTAAATAATGTCCGGACTTTATGTTGGTAATCAAACCAATAAAGCCACCTAAGGCAAACAAATGGTGAACAACTAAGAACAAGTCAAAAGTTCTGAAGACAACGTTGGATAAGTGAACGGCTACATTTTCAAGCAAGAAGAATCCAGAGGCTATTAGGCAATTGAACCAGCTCCAGTCCTGTTGCGCATACACCTTGTCAGCTTGAAAAACAGGATCAAAAAGCAAGGCCCACAACCCGGCAGCGCAGCTCTGGATGCCAAATACACCCCGGGTAACCGCCAGGTTCCAGAAGACTTTCTCCTTTGAAGGGAGCAAGCGGTACGTGATGCTCATCCATGAAGACAGGCAATGCGAGAGAGAAAATATTCCCAAGTATAGGAAGAAGCCAACCGCTATTATTTTCAAACGTACTTCCCAGAGAACATAATCCCAAGCAAATATGGATCTGGGCATTACTGGGTCGTGTTTGAGATTCATTCCTTCCATTTTGTGTTGTAGTCTATGTCCTTTGAATGCTTTGGGGGATGTTTCACCTTTGTAGCAGGTCTATTTAAGGATCTTGAACTTCCGTCCTTAACATGAGCAGACACCAGATGAAAATTGCCATCTGCAGAGAAAGAGAAATGAAGTGTATAGAATACATACACAAACACACACACATACATGAATACATACATATAGTTACTTACACTAACAAGTCACACACCAGAGTCTAATTCAACCCCATCAATAATGGTGAACAATGAGAACAACCACTCATTATTATCTAGCAGATACAAGTTTCCTCTTCCTTGACAGCATTCCATTCTTGACAAAAATGTGGGCTTCTTGCATCCAAATCCACTATCCATGACACAAAACATTAACATTACATGTGAGAAAATGAGCAATATGGATTTTAGGAGACAAACTGAGAAGAAACGAAAGGAATTTGTTGCGACCATAGCAGTGAGGGGAAGCCAAGGGGTGCATCTACATAGCAAAATTAATGCAGTCTGGAACCACTTAGATTCTTCTATGCCTTGGAATTATGGGAGCTGTAGCTTGGTGAGACACCAGCCAGATAAAGCTAAAGAGCTTGCAAAACTACAACTTCTAGGAGTCCACAGCATTGAGCCATGGCAATTAAAGTGGTGTCAACCTGTCTTAAGTCAACAGTGTAGGTGCACTCTAGGGCACACAAGCTGTATCCTACCTCCATTGAATATATGTGACATATGACATCTCCTCTACCAGTTCTTACTTCGATGGAGATGAGAGACTTACCAGTAAGTTTAAGGGTCCATCTCACAATGGCGAGGCCAGGGGAGCACAAATATGAAAGATGTTCTATTTAGTGATGGAAGTTCTCCTTCTTGTGGGAAAGGCCCTGCCTTCCAATCTCTCTTAGCCCTTTCCCAATAAGAGGAGTCACTGAGTCACAGTCACAGGTAAAGGGTGTTATAAAATGTCTGCTTCTTGGTCCCATGTGTGTCATGTTCATCATCCAGAGCTGACTCACCCTTATTCATACTCTCATAGAAATGTGATTCAGATCATAATCTTGCTTGAAAATTAGTTGAGAGAACTTCGTTACAACTCAACATAAATTCTCTAGACACCAAATCGTAACTTTCATGGTTTGCTTCTACATCAGATGTCACATTTAAAATGTATTTTAAACACTTATCAGAAATGACCTCATTCCAGATTATTATACCAAAGAGGCTGAGATAGTGATACCTTTGCTTTATGATGATTCTATACACAAAATTAATCAATTAAATTATATAAAATGTTGTGTTTAGACTTGGGTGCCATTTCTAAATATCAAATTATATATATAAATGAAAACAGAGGTATCCTAAACCCCTAAAACCCAAAACTCATCTGGTCCTAAGCACTTCAGATAGTGGATACGCAACCTGCAGACCAACTGTGTTGCGTGTTTTTTGTAGTATGTAAAACTCCATATTATAAAACCAAAGGACATACCAGTAAGCTGCCAGGCTTCTTACAAATATTCACATTTCCTTCAGCCATACAATTAGATGGCATGGCACAACTGCCAAAATCTACACAGGCAGTCCCTATCAAACTAGAGAATGAATCCATTTTAAATATGGTTTCTGCCTCCTGCAGAATTCTGGGATTTGTCGTTTAGTGCAGCTGTTGAAGGCTCCTCCCTAAACTACAAACCCCAGAATTCTGCAGGAGGCAGAGACCAGATTGAAAGTGGATTCATTCTCTAGTGTGACGAAGTACAGGTTACAAACAACTTAAGTTCTATAGGTTTGTTCTTAAGTTGAATTGGTATGCAAGTCAGAACTGGCACATTTTTGAAGTGTATCTCCAGCCAAAAATATGAACTTTGCAGTTTTAGGTAGGAGAATGGTTAAGACCCCTGTGGTGTTTATTTTGCTGTCTGTGCTCCTGTTTAGAAGATTTCCCCTCATTTTCTGTCCCTGTGATCATTGAATTTTGAAAAAAAAAATGGCTTGTTGTGGAAACAAGGAATGGAGATAAAGCTTCAGTGGAGACACCTTTTCCCCATGATAACTCTTCCAGGAGTGAATTTCCCTTCCTAGGGGTAGATTTCTCCCACTTCCTCATGTCTTGTGCCCATTCTTAACTATGGATTGATTGTAAGCTAGGTGTTTGTAACTCAGGGACTACCTGTATTACAGAGAGAAACTCTTTCTTTTTCCTACATTCACCAGCTTTTTTGCTCTGGCAAAGTTTCAGAAAATAGGTGGTTGTTGAAAAGGAGGCATTGTACCAAAGGGGTGCTATGTTTCTCCCCACCCAATGCCTTTGATGTGCATTAAATACTTTTTCAAAGGTTTGCGTTAGTGAGCCATTGCTGAGTCCGATTTAAGATCTGCCCTCAATCTACTGAAGGGCAGGAGACAGAGCAATAGCCAAGAAAACCAACATAACTGGGTTGACAGGCTATATACATAATTAATTTCAGCCATTGTTAAAGAAGCCCTGCCTGCACTCTGGCTCTTTCTCCCATTCAAAGGGAAATGCCACAAGGCTCTCATGAGTTCTTCTGCTCTTAATGAAGCCGGCTTTCAGGGAAACATTAGTTGGGGAAAAGGAGGAAAATACAAGACAAACCAAGTTTGTAAGAAGGGGCAATGTAGTGCTGGATAACGCAGGGTTCAGATACTCAAGAAACCCATTGGGTGACCCTGGACAAGTCACACATTCTCAGCCTCAGAGTGAGGCAACTACCTGTGCCAAGCAACTCCCTTGATAGGATCATCTTGGGTTGGAAACTACTTGAAGACATATAGCAAAAGGAGGGAGAGCCTCAAACACTAATGAAACAGTCACATTTTTGTATTTGTTTGGGCCTCCAGGATTCCATTCCCACAGGACTTCCAAACTTCCCTTGCCTTAAAGAACATCTCCAAAATAGAATGAAATGCAGTCGGGCACTACTTGAATTGCCATCGCTCAGTGCTATGGAACTATGAGATCTGAAGTTTTACAAGGAGCTGCAGTGGCGCAATGGGCTAAACCCTTGTGCCAGCTGGACTGCTGCCCTGAAGGTTGCCGGTTTGAATCTGTGAGACGGGGTGAGCTCCTGTCTGTTAGTTCTAGCTTGCAGGGACATGAGAGAAGATTCCCAGCAGGATGGTAACATATCCAAAAATCCCCTGGGCAACGCCTCTGTAGACGGCCAATTCTCTCGCGCCAGAAGCGAGTTGCAGTATGTTCATAAGTCGCTTCTGACAAGAAAAAAAAGTTTCACATGGCCTTTAGCCTTCCAGTTAGGTGCCTCACCGAATGACAAACACCCAGGATCCCACTGCATTGAGACAGGGCAGTTCACGTGAGGTCAAACTGCATTCATTCTACAGTACATGCATGGAACTCCCTAAACAAGACCCGGAAGGAGGAACAATATTCTGAGTACAAAGAAACATCCACTAACAATAAGTTCCAACTTCTTGCTTGCTTTGTTCAAAAGGTAATATTGGATTATTATTATTATTATTATTATTAGACAACATTGCAATATTATTATATTACACTGTCCAACATGCATTTTGGTGCCTGAGGCTCCTTCCGCACAGTTGAATAAAACCCTACATTTTCTGATTTGAACTGGGATATATGGCAGTGTGGACTCAGATAACCCAGTTCAAAGCATATATTGTGGGTTATTCTGCTTTGATATTCTGGGTTATATGGCTGTGTGGAAGGGCCCTGAAATGACAGGCCTATTTCTGGATATATTTGACCTGCTGATTCCAAAGATGGCACCAGTTTCCCCTCATGGGATCTAGATTTTGAGATACAGAAGATATGCCATTTACCAGTCGCCATCTGCTCACCCATGAAGAATGATGAGAACCATATCTATGAAACTAGAGCCGATGCGTTGTATCCACTGCAATTTTCTGATCTAGAACCCCAAATAACCCCAGGGACCTTCCACACAGTCAGGATATCAAGGCAGGAAATCCCACAATATCTGCTTTGAACTGGGTTATCTGAGTCCACACTGCCATATATCCCAGAAAATGTGGGATTTTATTCAGCTGTGTGAAAGGGGCCCCCAGAAACAGAAACTAAGAAAAATTGTGTTGTTATTGTTGAACTTCCTTCCTGCTGAGCCTCCCACGCAACCTCCCCACTTAACCCCACCCGTGTACTATTAATTGAAGAAATTGGGGATATATAGCATCTGGGTGGGGTTAAGTGGGGAGGTTGCATGGGAGGCTCAGCAGGAAGGAAGTTCAACAATAGATATTTAAGATACGCTTGCCTTGGAGGGTCTTTCTTCGTAAATAGGCTCCTCAGATGAAGTTCCCCTTCGGAGGGGGGAGGGAGGAGATCTCTCTTGCAAAATGTGATGAGGGTCCAACCCTGGAGCAAGTCTTTGTTGTCGTTGCTGCTGCTGCGCGCGCGGTGGGGACGCTTTTCCCCTCGGTCACGCGCCGGAGCACGCGAGCATCAGCCGACGGCCAATCAGCCGGGTCCAAAAGGAGCGCGCGCGTACACACAGACCCCGGGTTGGCCGCGACTGGAGAAGCTTCCTCTTGTCTCTTTGCCGACGTTTGGAACAAACCATTTGACTCCTCCGGGAGGGGAGGAAAGGGGAGGCCCAACCCCATGGGCTGCTTCCATTCTCCGGAGAAAATAGGCTGGCTTTGTTTCCTAAACCCTAAAATATTTTACATATCTATGTGGGTTTTAATGACAAATAGATACTTGTGTATATTTACATAATTATGTCGGTTTTATTGACAAATAGATACAAAGGCAACCCTCTTAGCTGTGTTAGAGTCCTTGGAAGCCAGTGCTCACGTGACCGGTGACGTAAACAATGGGCGGGCTTTATGCTAAATAATAGCCTGAATGCAGTTTGACACCCCTTGCACTGCCCTGGCTCAATGCTCTGGAATCCTGGGAGTTCTAGTTTGGCAGGAAAGGCTAAGGGCCTTCTAATGCAGTGGTTCTCAACCTTTGGGTCCCCAGGTGTTTTGGCCTACAACTCCCAGAAACCCCAGCTGTGAGGATTTCTAGGAGTTGAAGGCCAAAACATCTGTGGACTCACAGGTTGAGATTCACTGCTCTAATGCCACAGTCCCCCATGGTTCCATATTACTG